GATTTGGGCTTTAAAACAAGTACAAGATCATGTTTCTAGCATTTGTGGTTGATGAGTTATAGCCGTTCAAAGGTAACTAATCACACTTGCGTTTCTTTTGGTAGCCACTGTATGTTAAAGAACTATAAAAAATATATTTTTTTCTTATTTTTTGTATATATTTTTTCCTATTTTTTTATATTAAGTTTAAGATTTTTATATAAGAAAAAACATATTTATTATACTGAAATTTCATAAAAATTATATATTATAAAACTTAATTTTTTATAGAATTTTTTATTAAACTTTTTATTGAGTAATATTGAAAGTTATTTAAAAAATAAAATATCTAATAAGATTTAGATAAGGGAAGAAAAGATAGTGAATATTTATAAAATATTAAAAATGTTAAAATAAATTATTTTATTTGTTTAATCTATAAAGAATATTTCATAAATACTAAAAATTTCATTATATAAATATATATATATAATATCAGTAAAATAAAGAAAAGATTAAATGATTACCAAAACTAAGTATATAACAAATTATATACTAATTTCATTTTAAAATTACCATACCGTTCTGAAAATAAGCAACTTATGATACGCTCTTTTTATGGTAATTATTTTATTTCTCACACGTATTATTTGTCATATACTAATAATAAATATTTATTTGTTACTTGTTGCTTATTTTTAGAACAGTATGGTATATAGTAATAGTGAAGTATACTTTATTTTATTCTTGAGAATGCGAATAATAAATATTTTAATAATAAATATTAAAACTTTTTAAAATATCTTATAATCTGATTATATTACCATTAATATTTACAAATAACATTTAAGAAAAATTATAATTAAAATCCTTTTTAATTTATATAATTATTTGTTAAATATATTCGCAAAAGTATATAAAAAGTAAGCTTAAATAATTTTTTGTTAGTAAAGAAATAATAGAAACAAATTATTTTCAGAAAAAATTGTTTAAAGAATATTCTTATAATATTATTAAATGAGAAGATTAGGTTACTAAATAATAATACATCATTAATTATTGAAAAATAAATAATTTTTGATGATAGTATTAAATATTATTAACCAAGATCAAGAACATTTTGTGCAATTAACTCGCTCATTATTTCAAATCAATTTTCCAAATTACTATTAGTCAAAATCATAAAATCACACTTCTACAACTTGGAAGTTATTAATGTTAAAGTTTTATCATCTATATCTAAACATAAAATATGCTTATATTTTGTTATTCCTGAGAATATCTATGCTAATTTCAAAATGCAAAATCATTAAAATTATTTCATAAAAAATACAATTGCTTTAAATATACTTTGACAATCAAGAAATTTTCTCATAATTATTCAAAAAGGATTTTTTTAATAAACTAATAAGAAAATTTTACTATAAAGTTTATATTAAACTTATAATATTCATTAATTTTATAAATTTATTAATACTTTGAACAATGATATTTTCATGCAACTTACGTAATAATTCGGTAAAGTGTTAATCGGATTTATTTTCATAACTAATCATTGTGGGGGGATAAAATATCAGGGATGGATCTTCTTTTATACCATTCCAGCAATTTCATATTCGAAACAGTTACATTTTGTGATCGCAAAGTTCCAAAATTTATTTTAGGCTGTGGATAATTTCCGAAAAAAAAAATCGAACTATCAGAAATTCCTAAGCAAGGTCGCATTTAAATGTATTTTTAATTATAAATTTGCATATGTAGATATCGTGAGGCATGTATGCTACAAGAATCATTAGCCGCAGCGAATAACCTTGTACTACTAGAGATTTTTTTTTTTTATTCAATTATATTACATAAAAAAAAATTATTTTTATATTTTTGCAATTCACTATAATATAATAAAAACTTGAATACTAATAAAATTCGACTATCGTTATATTACAAAAAAAAAAAGAGGGGTGGAAAATATTTTAAAATTTAAAAAATAAAATAAAAATAAAAATCTAAATTAAACTTTTGAAGAAAATTACCATTGTCTCTTATCATAAATAATAATTATTAATAAAATGTCTTGACCAAACCCAAATATATTTGAAATATTTGTTAAATTAATATTCTTCTCCACTTGATAATTCACCTGGTGCTAATTCACTTCCAAATTCTTTTAAACTGACTATATTTTCTTCTTCAGGTGAAAATGGACCACATTCATATGAATAATCATCATCATCATCATCACCATCACTACCAGCCCTTTGAAAAACAACTTGTCCATCTTCTGTACATCTTCGTTCATGTCTCACATTTTGGTTTTCTCCTTCACTTGTCGCTCTTCGTAAATGAAATAATCTTGAAGGAAATTCATGATCTCCATAAATACTGACTCTGGCTTCACCTAAAAATGGCGAAGAGGCACCCCAGTATCCAACGATACCAGGTCCTCCTTCACTAGATGTCAATGCTTTATCTAATTCAACATTATCCTCTACAGAAATTTTCTTTAGAGGATTACGAGGTAGCCAAAGTTTACGATTTAAAGCTTTAACAAGATTCGGATGTGTGTAAGTTTGGTATGTTGATGTTTCATCCTGAAGTACTTTAAGATTTGGATCATGTGTAAAATGTGCTGGATGATAACATCCTCGTAGATTTCCTCTTGAAGGTAAACGTGAAGCATGTCTCGAATATCCAACCGGTGAAATGATTTGTACATTAAGATGATTGCTTCTGGCTTCTGGAGATACGATTGTTAATACTTTATTAGCTTTAGTGGATATCTCTTGAATTTGACTTGAACCTGAACTATTATCATGATTGATCATATTATCCGTTGACCCTGTAGCTAAAGCTACTTTAGATTTAAGTAATTTAGTTGGTAAATTAATAATTGAACTAGTAATGGTACCATTTGCGCTCTCTTTATCTTGTTCATTCGACAAAATCACAAATTGAGGTAATGAACTCGACCTTTGTATGTTAAAAACTTTATCTGACGAGTTATGATGTGATTTTTCCGTAGATATTCTAACCATTTCTAAAGAACTTTTTGAATTTTTATTCTTGACATCATCCTTTGAACTTTGACTATTGCTTTCGATAGTATCCACAATGACTACATTTTTTTTAACGGAATCTTTTTTTGTGCTAGTAAAACTACTAGTCTCACTGTCCGTGCTATCATTTCCTTCCAACCTACTAAATCCATTTGTACGTCTCGAAAACATTGAACCTATTCCAATATCACCTTCCTTATTATTTGATATACCACCTATATTAGAACTTTTAATTTTGATAGTTTTACCCTTATTTTCTGCAGCAGTTTCTTTCTCGACATGAGAAGGTTCGGTTGAATCAATTAATACTTTCTCTGATAATACACCAATATTTTCATTCGTATTAGCAACATGATTCCTACTTTGCTCATTTTGTTCATTCTGTACACGATTATGTTGTTTGGAATCCAAAGCTAAATAATGCGTTCTGGAATAAAATGTCTTATGACAATAATATTTAAAATACCCGGTGCCTATCAAAAGAGGTACTAACACAGCGCCAACCACAATTCCTTTACGCAACCATATCAAACCAATCATGGTAAGCTGAAATATAATCAAACCATCTGTTGAATAACGAAAAACGCGTCGATAGAATTTCCCTCCTGTTTCGTATCGACGTACATAACAGTATGCAAACTGATGCTTGAATACAACTAATGCTGTAGCGTAATAGATAAGTGAGAATATTAAGATTAAAGGATTAATCACAGAATAAGTGATGGTAATAACGAGAATTAGGATATGAATTGGGTAATAATAATAGAATTGAAATGACCAAGGATGTGTTACGCGTTGAAGCATGCGGGGAGTTGTTGATACAAATCGAGAAGTAAGAATGATGTGAAGAAATAACTGTGATCCAACTTGAACAAGTTCAAGTCCATGAGTACAGGTACTAAATATGATATAATTTATGAAAAATGTGGCTCCCTAACAAACAAATAAATTTACATTATATTTGTTATAATAATAATCAAAAAATTTTGCTCTTTAAAAATAAAATAGGTTCTTACCTTAGGCATATTGGTAGCTAAAACGTCAAGAATGGATGTGGGTTTATCAAGAACCTTAACAATGGACTGTAAAAATGTGATACCCAGTAAGAACACAAGGAACACGTTGAAAAATGAAAAATGATAATATCGTATTAAAACAGCTTCTTCAAGTTCCGAATATGAAGAAAAACTTTCTTGCTTTGATATTTCTAAAGAGAGAAGGAAGGAATTTAAGAAACAATTATAAATTATAAGGAAAAGATAAACACGTTATAAAAATACAAACCCATCAGAATCCAAGGCAAAATTGCCATAAAGAATGAAACCAATACGGTTGGTAGTACATTTTGAAGTAATGTCGATATAGTTGGCGATGTCAAAAAGAATTGTTTTAGAAATTCAAATCTTTCGGAGAGTGAATTGATAGATGTGAGGGTAAGGAAGGCAACGATTGGAAAAAGCCAAAAGATAGTCAATGCCCTAAGGAAAAGAAATATATCAGGTCAAGGCTACTTTATCCTTATGATAGTAAGATTAAAAGAAAAAAAAGAATTATTTTACCAGACACAAGCATTTACAAAGAGATAACGAAATAATTTTTCTTTGAATGACATTGTCAAATTATCCCAAAGAATGTCTCTTGGCTCAGGAGCCATCCTTGTTGTACAAGTATGGGGTACTGAACACATTATGCTTTGAGCACATAATTGCGCACCGATATGATCTTTAAACGTGACAAATCCTGTACTTGTAGCCTTATAAGGAGGATCTTGGATCGACTTTGAACGTAATTCAGCGATACGACGATCAAGGAAATTAAATTTCTTTAAGAAATGATCAATAGAATAAACACGTTTTTTACTTCCAAGAAATCCGGTTCTGTGTTTTGGCTGAAATTTATCAAGATTATCCTTGGATATATGATGAAGAGCATTCCAAATTCGGAATTGACGTCCATATCCATCTTCACGATCCATTAAATCATCACTTGTGAAAGTTTCGGATGTGGAATGTTTAGAATGTCTGATCACATTTTCATTATTCTCTGATGCTTCACTTGTATTTGCACGTCTCTTTTTTCGTGGATCTAACCAATCAAAAAGATTTTGAATTTTTTGATTTTCACCTGTTTCAAGAGCCAAAGTAGGTATTTCACTAGAATAACCAAATAGTTTTGACCAAAACCCAGTCCCAAGTAACTTCTTCCTTTTTATAGCATTACAAACATTTTTTGCAAGCTGAATATGGGCTTTTTCTAACGATAAAAGTGCATTTTCTCTCCTAGAGATTTTTCGATCTAATTTTCCAGTATGTCTTACCATTCTAGCAGACTCCACTTCACCTAATCCAAGATTGCTAACAAATTCTTGAAGTTTCTCTTCAGATCTTAAATCTTTATGTATTCTAGATACCATAACAGTCCGTACGGATATTGAACCATCCGACACCTGATCCATAAGATGTTGCCGATGTAAATTCATATAATCATAATAGTTTTTATATGAAAGGAACATCCAACTAATGCTCACTATATACGTACAAACTGCATGGGCCCACAAAATATTGATATCGTCAGAAGAAATATTACTAACAGAAAGTCTTGTTACACCGTCGTCCTCTTTTTTGTCTCCATCTTTATTATTATATGTATAATGTATTGGCATTAGAATTAACCCAACAGTAAGGGCATTAAGTAGTACAAATTGAAATGCCATCCTTAAAAATCGAATATACATCAATGCATCAAGTCCAACATTCTTTAAATAAAATTCATCTGATAAGAATATAGTTGCCCTTATCCATGAAAATAAACCTGATGGTATTGGTGGTGAAGGATTTCTATGAAATGATTTAAACCAGTCATTAAAAAATAAAAAGGAAAGAAAAGTAACACGGAGTTATAACAATTCACTTACTTTGCTAGCCTTGTCCTTGGAGTATATAAATATTGCATTGATTTTTTCCTTCGATTCCATTCAAATTGTAATAAACAATACAAGGAGATGGAGGCAGATATTCCTAATTGGGTTGCTAAACCCAAGAAAGAATCGGTATAATTATGCGCAGTGTCAAATGTAGCCATATTTTAAGTGGCTCCCGACTTTAAAACTTCTGATTTTATTACAGTCAATGAGTAAATTGAACACTGGTTGCCTTTAAGTAAATTTAAGTGAAGAAAAAAATTGCTAAAATAGAAAAACTAAAAAAAAGGCTTCAAGAGTTCTTATTAGCTTATTCAGTTAAAGACCAAACTAAATAGAGATAAAAACGCGTTTCAACAATTTATCTTTGATTAATTTAGATCTAAAGAACTGAAACAATAAATAACAAGGTAGAACATTAAGGAAAGGTCAAGGAAGTGAATAAAAACGAAATTAGAGCACGATCAGATGGGCTTTCGAGTTGTAAGAAACTAAAGCCCTCGATTTTATTAATTTTTTTTTTGGTCAATTGTGATACAAGAACGTTTTCCTTAGATAATATGACGGAATGATAGTTGCATTGAGTTATTAAATTATATAAATCTATTTCCCAATTTGGTAAAATAATTTTCGATACAAAAAGTCTCATAAAATCCATAAAAGGCAAAAAAAAAAAATTTTCTGCATGCTCCGAGAATCGAACTCGGGTCTCGTGCGTGGCAGGCACGAATTATACCACTAAACCAAGCATGCCCATCTTTTAATATGAAAGATTAAATATTTAATTATTTGATTTAAAATGTATCTAAGAATTTTTTTTAAAAAAAAAAATGAACAAAAAAAAAACTATCATGTGCATGCTCCGAGAATCGAACTCGGGTCTCGTGCGTGGCAGGCACGAATTATACCACTAAACCAAGCATGCTTCTTATGTTTAAAATTTTTAGTAAAGAATTATTTAAGCAAATAAATTATCTTCATTTGGAAATTGCATTAATCAAAATCAAATTTTGGTGTGAAATTTTAGAAAGTAACGGAGGGCTTTGTTGTGGAATTTTAAGGAAGGAGGTTGGTAATTTGACCTGTTTTTTTTTTGACGTATTTTTTATTTGCATTTTGTTCTATTAAAAATTTATTATTGTAGAAGTGTAAAAAAAAAAATGGTTTTAAATAAAAAAAGTTTGTGATTGGTTCTAAAATAATTGCATCAATATATTCCGGAAACAAAACGACAAGTATTTTTATAAAGATGTCCAAACCAGAGCAAATCCCGATATTTAGCAATAGTGAACTCTACTATAAATATCAAAGATCTAACGCCCCTTTTGTGACAGATAAGTAATGAAAACCCCGTTGAAACAGATTTACGAATTACATCATTTCATTTTTATATCAGGATAGTTATTTTTCATCCCTGAATACCAACCAATAATGATCTTAAAAAACTTGCTTTTTTCGATGGTTCAGGGTTCACTTCCTCCCTCAACATAGCAAAATTCTTTTTATGTGGTCCATATTTAAAAATTAACCTGATCCTGATTTTTGGCCGAATTAAGTCCGATTTTAGCACATGCCTTGGCACAGCAAATTTTCGATATACGTGATAATTTATTTCGATATCTGATGTTTATAGAAGGGGGGTTATTATGATAGAAACAAATAGAAATTTTCAGAGAGCAAAGAAATAATATAACGAATTTTCATCTCGTCAAATATATATTTAGCTTATTTTATGTTTCGTTATTCTGTAAAATCCAACTATTAAAATCATACATATATATTTATAAAGAAATTCGATCAGTCTGAATTTAAAATGTTATTTGTTTGAGGTTGTCATTATAAAAACGTGGACACGCTAAGTGATGGTGTAGAAATTCTTTGAAATTATGTTTTAGTTGTTTAATATATTTTCACTAAGATTTTTTATGTCTCCTGAAGAAAGAGAAAGACTTTCTTCTAAAAAGAAAATAATATTAGTATACCATAATTCACAAATTCACAAAGGGTAAACAAATTGTTTTAAAAAAAAATGATACTAAAGTATTTGAAATTTGATTTACTAAAAAAAAAAAAAAAACTGTATATATAATAAAAAAATGAAATTAATTTTTAATAATCAAAACCAAATTTAAAATTAATTTTGTTAAATAATAAAATTAATAAACTTTAATAATTTTATAAATTTTCTATTTTAATAAATAAAAAACTTAACTCTAATTATATAAATTAATTTAAATAAAATAGATAAAATTTAAGTTAATTTTTATTAATATTTAATGTTTTATAATATTAAATTTAAATATATTAATTATATAGACATTATACATAAAAACTAATTAATGCTTAGAAAAATTAACTAATCTATTTTATACTAATAAAATTTATTATACTTATATTTTATATTTTTATGTAAATAAGATAAAAAAATATTATTTTTTTATTTATATAAAAAACAAACTTAAAATAGACTATAAAAAAATTGAAGTAAAAAATTTATTATAAATAAATAATTATATTAAAATTATTAAAAAATAATTTAAATAAATATATTAAGATATTTAATATAATTATAAAAAGAAAAAAATGATTTAAAAATTAATTAATTAGAATAAAGATTTAAAATATAATTAATGGTTTATATATAATATAAACTAGAAAAAAAGATTATTGTTAAGTAAAAATGATTTTAATTAAAATAAAAAATATTGAAAAACTAATTAGCATTGACTTAATTTTTGAACAAAACATTTTGTATAGATATATATAGTTCTTTACTTTGTTTCAGACTAATTATCTAATTTCAAAAATAATTATATATTTCAATTAATAATTAAACTTTGAAAAATAATTTATATATTAATAAAGTATTAATATTTATAATTTAATAGTTAATATATAATAAATTTAATTAACAATTTTATTTATTATTTATAAATTTACTTTAATTTTATAATAATTTTTTTTATTTATTATTTAATTATATTATTTTATTTTCTCAAAGTTAAGTATTAAGATTAAAAAGCAGTTATAGTAAATAAGAATTTAGAAAAGTATAAGAAAAAAATTTATATTGAGTTTTTAATATCTATTTTTAAAAGTGAATGAAAATCAATTATAATTTAAATATATTTTATAAAAAGAATAAAAAAGCTATTAATTTTTGTGATAAAATTAAAAAAAATAATAAAAGAATTAATTTAAATACTTATATTATAATCTAAATTTATATCTACTTTTATTTATTATACAATTTATGAATTAACAGATAAGATTACAATTTTTCAATAGAATCATACTTTTATAACATACTATAAAATTACTAAAAAATAATTAAATAAATAAAATAAAATTATTATTAGCTAATAAATTTATTAGATTTAATTTAATTAAAAATTTAAAAGCAATTATATTATAATATTTAAAAACATAAAATCTTTTAAATAATGTGAATAAATATAAAGTTACATTAAAAAAATTTAAATTACTTTATTTTTAAAAAAGTTATTTATTTAATACAAAAAAGAATCTATGTAGTATTAGAAATAATAAAAGGATTTATACATTATTAGTTAATATTTCAGACTAAATTTCTAAACTCTATTTTTAACTTTTTTAAGTTTTTTATTAAATAAATTTGATTTATTTTTATATAAATAAGTATGACTATACTTAATAAATAAATTACAAGTTTCGCTTGTTGAAAAAAGTTCCTTTACATTTTACTTTTAAATTATACTTATTTATTTTAAACTATCTAAACTCAAATATTTTCAAATTGGATTTCACCTGAAACATTATTATTTATTAATTTAAAAATATTTTTCTATATATAATTTTATAAAAATAATAAAGTTTTAGTAATTTTTAACATTAATTTTAAAATAAATATTACTTTCTAATATAATTATACTATATAAAATAGAATATAATTTTTCAAATTTATAAATAAATTTACAAAAATTAAAATTAATTATTATATGAAATATCTATATCACCTATTAATCAATTTAATAATAGTTAATAATTTATTCTATTTATTTGATATTTAAAAGAAAAATTTTTTTTATTTTATTTTAAAGATATTGTTATTTTAATCTTTTCTTTTCTTCAATTATTTGATATCTAATTTTTAAATGATCAGTAATATTTAATTATAATTATTATTTTTAATAAGATTATTTATATTAATATTTTAATTTCATTTTTTAAATTAAAATTTATAATAATAAATTATTTTTTATACAAATGATTAAATTTAACTTAGCTTTTTATTTGACAGAAATTACTTAAATATACAAAATATTAAACATTATTAAAATTAAATTATTATTTTTTATTTTAATAGAAAGATTATTAATATAATTAATTTATTAATTTTTAAAATTTTACATATCATTTTAATCAAAATTTATAAATAATAATTTTAAATTTTTTTTTTTTTGCAAACAATTAATAAATTATTTAATTAAAGTATATAAATTTTAACCTAAATCATTTTTTTATTAAGTTATTTAATTAAATAATTTATTATTTAAAATTTAAAAAATCTAATATTTTTTATAAATAAATAATAAGCTATTAATTAAAATACAGACCCCGCCAAAAGTTTCTGAACATCATCTTTCGGCTATTTCATACCGAATACATCATATGACTGTATAATCCTGCGGTCATGTAATGTACCTGACCTTGTTTGCTTAAATCAAAACCAAATAAAAGCGTGTTATAAAAGCGTGTTTGATTTGTTTATTTTGATTTTTAACCAAAATAAAATTTACCTTCTAAAAATCACAAAAATGTTCAAAGAATAACGCGGCAGTATATATTTTGCTGTCAACGTGGTGATAGTTACTGGGCTATTGCCGCAAATATTGGTTGTGAATTTTTAATAGCATTTAGAACTTTAAAAAGAATGAATGACACCGGAACCGTTAATTCGAGGCTTCGTTCTGGTCGACTATCCTTAATTAAAGATTCGCAGCGAAGCTGGCTGAAGTGATTTATCGCAGCGAATTCGGGCTGTGATGAAGCAAATAAAGGCCTGACCAAGTACTAATTATTTAGTACCAAATGTGTAGCATATCGTATATTAATAAATAAATTAATAAATTTTTTTAATAAACTTTAAAATTTTAAGTTTTACATTGAGCCAAAAAGCGTT